ATTTATTTATTTTAAATTCAATAGAAAATGGAAACATACTTTTTTTTTTTCTCCAAATGCCTTCAGGGCAGGTTTGGCTGGCTTGAGTTGTGGGGATCGAACACAGCAACCTGAGCCTGACTGCTTTGTTGAAGCAGCCACTTAAAGAACTGAGCTACGGGGCAGGCCCCCTTATGATTGGTTTTGAGGTAGGAATTTGATTGAACACAACATATTCAAGAACTGAAAGAAAGCAAAACATGGTGGTACATGCCTAGACTCCCAGTACTCTAATACACTAAAAAATCTTACTTTGAAGAAGTGTTAAACTGAGAAATGAAAGCTGTGTAAGGGTTAGTGCATCAAGGAGTGGGATGCACTAACCTCAAGAGGGTCACAAGTTTGAGCCCAGCCCAGGTAACTTAATGATTTACTGAGACTCTGTTTCAGAATAAGGTGTAAAAGAGCTGGGGTTGTAGCTCAATGCAAAGGCCCTGGGTTCCATCCCCAATACCACCCCTCTCTCCTCCATTTCCCCCACAAAAAAAAAGAAAGCTTTTCAGCTGGGCTGCAAAGAATAAGAAAAAGCTTAGTGAACAATGAAGTGGAAAAAATAGTTGGAACCCATATCGTGTTGGGCTTAATGGACCATAGTAGGGAGTATTAGTAACTCAGAGTGTAACAGCTTCCCCTTAGCCTGCAGAGGGTATGTTCCACTATCTCCGATGCATGCTTGAAGGCACAGATAGTAGTGAACCTGCATAATATTTTTCCTATATGTATCTAACTACAGTAAACTTTAATTTAAAGATGAGGCACAGTAAGATACTAACACCAAAAATTAACATAAAGTAGAAGAATTATAGTAATGTGCTATAATGAAGAACATTATCACTCCAACAATTTGGAACTTTCATTATGTAAAATAAGCATTCCTAGATAAGCTAGGTTATCAGCAGGTTTTCTGATAACCAAGGCAGCTACCAAGTGTCTTAACTGGTGCATAACATATATGATATTTATGCCCTGGATAAAAGGATGATTTGTGTCCTGGCTGGACAGCGTAGGATGGAGGGAGAGTCATCACCCTACTCCTAGTGGCACACAATTTAAAACTTATGAATTGTTTCTGGGATTTTTCTGTTTAATATTTTGGATCATGGTTGACTATGATTAATTGAAACCTTGGAGAATGAAGCTATAGAAAAGGGAGATTACTATAGAATATAATCTACAGGCCATGACTGTGCTATAATCATGCCACTGATTTCTTTATAGAAGAAATAATCTTACCAGGCATGGTGGTACACACCTGTAATCTCAGCATTTGGAGGCTGAGACAGGAAGATTGCCAGGATTGGAAGCCAGTCTGAAGCACATAGTTTAGTTCAAGGCCAGCCTAAACTACATAGGGAGGCCCCCTATTTAAAAAAAAAAAAAAAAAAAAAAAAAAAACCAGAAGTAAGCAATGTACAAAATAGCTAGGTGTGTGGCACACACTTATAATCCCAGCATTGGGGAGGTGGAGGCAAGAAGATTGCTGTGAGTTCAAGGCCACCCTGGGCTACATAAGCAAGTTAAAGGTCAGCCTGAACTGCATAGAGAGACTCTGTAAATGAATTAATGAATAAATAAATATCTTTTTGTGGAGAACTTACTGCAAAATGAAAAGTTCTGCTATTAAACATATTTATGGGTAGTCTCCTTTTTGTCTGCACTAAATATTTTTCTAGAAAATTATTTTAAAATGTCTTTCATTGATTTAGGTATAAACCTCAAATTTTAGTTGGAAACTATGTACAGATATGTACTCCTAGCCAGTTGATCCTTACACTGAAATTGAAGACCATGCCATTCCTGTTTTCATGTGTTAAGGATTTACAGGACAATATTCAGAATCATGCCACTGCATTTACCACTGTTGTCAAAGATGTTGAAGTGTTCCTAGAAGAGAACCAGACCAAACTGAGTCCCGAGGAATTAACAGCTCTTCAGGAAAAGCTTCATCAGGCTAAGGAGCGATACGAGGCTCTCCAGGAGCAGACACGGGTGACCCAGAAGGAGCTGGAGAAAGCAGTGAGCTCAGCCTTACAACAGGAGACTGAGAAGGTAACCATAGTGCTCTAACACTTGACTTTTTGCCAAAATAAAATTTTGTATCTGCAGAAAAGATAAGGTGGAATTCCCTTATAGAGAGCATAATATCCTAAAAGAGGGTTGCTTAAGGAGCAGATATGTAAGTCAGTCTTTTTTCACAAAAAAGATTCAGGTTAGAAAAACTAGCAAGAAGTACATATTACAAAGAAAAAAAATAGGGCAGATAAACTAATCTAGCTATTTGTATGTTCTGGCTAATTGAAAGGTTTTTTATTTTTTATTTTTGTGGTACTGGAGTTTGAACTCAGGACCTTGTGTTTGTGAGGCAGGTGCTTATGATGCTGAGCTATATCCTTAGCCCAAAACTGAAAGAATTTAGATAAGGTATTATCCTAAGAGAGCAAAAGAAAATCAAATAATATATTTATAACATGAATCTAAGTTGGTGATCAAAGATACTATGGAAGATACCTGTGAACTTTTCATTCCCCGCAAGTTATCTCCAGTTGTGTCAATAGTTACGATGTGAATTTTGGCACCAGGAAAAACCAATGCAAGTAAAGTCTTGAGTCATCCTCTGCCCTTAGGTCAGCAATGGCACATTACATTGAATCCCTCATTCAGCCTTACGCTATGACACTAAGAAGGGAGACAAAGAACACGGGAAAGAAAAATAAGCTCCCTGTAGAGGATTTTTGAAATCTATGATGTGTAACTTGCCATATCCCACTTAATTAACTAAAATATTTGAAGAAGCAGTTAGTAGAATTCAGAAGGCAAATTTAAGAACTGAGAGTTCTGTTTGAGATAAGGATGAAAGAAGTCTGCTTTTCTTTTCTTTTTTTTTTTTTTTTTTT